TGGGGTGGAGATCATGGGAAATGTATTGGTAGTCGTATTCCGCGAGGAAACTTTCCATTCGTTGCGACATTCTGAGAGATGCAAATTGATTGCCTCGATACGAATGTTAAAACAAGGCCATCACGTGTCACGATGTTTGCCACTTCGCTGTGGAGAGTTGTAAGGGAAGAATAATTGAGATGTGGTTTGTAAGCGGTATTAAATGGAAATCTATCTGGATTTGCGTATGAGAAACAATTGTGGGAATAGCTGCGAGTAAGCACGTTTTCAGTGGCGTAGCGATGGAGGCTCATAGAATTTCCTCTTTCCTAAAGTGGATGACCATAAAATATGGTGATTGGGTATTGCTCGTTTTTTAGAAAATTGTAAATAAATAAATAAATTAAAACTAGTTTAATTACATTATTAATATATATTAATATAATAAATTAAAAAAAAGTTTTTCGTACTTATGCTTGAAATTAATAAACTATGATGGTCGTCCTGTCGTACATAACGATAACATTGTAATGTTGCGAGAAAGTATTTGCTATTGCAGCCCACTAGTTGAGAAACACTGTAGAACATTATTTGCATCACATATGCTAAAAAATGCAATCATTTTTACAATTTGCTGGTAATAAAAATAGTCGTGTCGTGTAAGAAATGTAAAAAAACATTTCTTTGAATTTTGAAAAAGAACTACAACAAAACAATACAAATAAATGGCGTTTATGTAATGATGAACAATGAATTTAGCACTATCAAAAAAGTGTTAAGAAAAAATGTGGCGCCGTTTTTGAGAAAATAATGTTCTTGTTATTTTTAATATTGTCTTGTTTTCACTGAAATTGCGAGAAAACTTTATAATTTTCAAAAGAAATCTGCATTATGTTGATGAAAAAACTAATTGTGGAGAACAATTTTGAATTGAAGTAAAAATCTTTCTTCCATATTATAGTTGTAGGAAGACGCCCAAAAGTTTCAATCTTATGTAATTTCGGAAATTCCAGAGTTGATGGTGAAAGTCGGACCTGTCCCATCTTTATAAGCGTATTTTACTCTATTCTTAATTTCAAGAAAGACGGGAGTCAGTTCTGAAAATATTTTTAAAGTGTCACTGGGACTTCACGTTAAATACCCCCAAAATAGGTTTTTTAAATCGCCAGAGCTTTGAGTCGGGCCAGATCGATCCTAGGTTCGGCAAAGGTGGCTCACGGTATCAACTGATGTCACTGTAGTGCCTCTGATCGGGAGGTTCTAGGGTTCCAGTTCCGATGGTGGACGGATTTTTATCATTAGCTTGTCGGGGGGTCGAAGTTTGCAGTCTCGAAGAGAATTGTATTGGACGGCTGCCTTGATCGGCAGTTTTCCGTGTTTCTCCTTTTTTTTTTTTTTTGATCAAAACTAGTTGAATACCGGAGTAGTACTCTAACAAACGAGACAGGGACCACGCGTGACCTTTCCTTCCTCTTCTTTGTCCTATTTTTACCTCTTACTTAGACATAAACCTATTGCACTACACTACCACACATATCGGAAGACCAATTGGAAGAATAGAGCTTGACCCAGCTGGGGCAGTGCCCCGCTGGCGGAAGATACCTGGTTGAAGTAAATCCTCACAAACCGACGTAGGTCAGCGCAGGATTTCGTCAACCAGAGGAGGAAGATTACTGCCACCTTCCCCGTTAAAACATACATTACACTTTTGAAACTAATAATATTAGCTGTCGACTCGAACGGAAGGACTAATCAATAAGTCAATCAATTGTACAAATAGTATAGGCACTAGTGTTGATCAAAGACAGACGTATGGACGGATGGAGAGATAAACGGATAGATGATCGGACATTTTGAAGAAACAAAACACAACACTTTTTTCGGTTTCAGGAACTCCAGAATGTGTATTTACGTTGAAATCTTAAATCGATTTTCCGCAGCGTTATATAACTCTCTCTATATACTACGTATATTTCTCCACTTATACGTATGTGAAGAAGAAAGTAAAAACTAGAAATTTTTTGCCAGTAATATATTGTGCTAATACTATTCGAAAAAAAGTTACTTTTTATTGTCAATAATGGGGCCAAATAATTTCCATTGTTATAAATAAATCCATTGAAAATCTATTCTACTATTAAATATAACTTGTATTTAATATTAGATCACTGTGCCCCTAAGGGAAAATTTAGATAGACCCATGGTGCCAATACAGTAAATGGATTTAATAAATCTGCTGTCAGTTAACCAATTATCAATTTAGCCAGTTTTAACGAAAACTAATATGCTCTAATAAATGAAACACCAGCTCTAGTAATTTTGTATGTACACCTACTCCCCTTGCGTCAAGTCAAATTGCGATGGGGAATCAGCACTATCCGGTGATTCGTCTATTCGGGGAATCGTCACTATCACGATCAAAGACTTATTTCTTATTTACTTCAGAATATTTTGGATTGGTTTATTCATTTGTGTGTCCAGGCGCTTCAGCCCTCTACTATTAGTCCCGTAAGTTTTGTGCACTTTTATTTTCTAGGGCGGTGGCGGTGTTCTTCCCCAGCGGGATGGTGAGATCTGGCGCCGATCTAATTCTCAGCTAGCGGGGCTTTCCCCAACCAGATGTCTTCCACAAGCGGAGACCACCTCAGCCGGGATAGGCTCTAAGCTCCGACTGATCTCTCGGCATGGGTGGTAGTGTGGTGCATGTCATTGTTAGCATGTTTAAGTAAGGAGTGAGCTCAGGATAAGAAATAGTAAGGAAAGATAGTACAGTCCGTGGCCCGTATGTTACCCGCGTACTGCTGCTGCATTCTCGTGGTAATGATCGGACAAACTTGAGAAAAGTGCCGATGAGAGCGGCCGGCCGCTAGAATTCTCGTCCCGACAGCGGCTGAATTCGACTTAGCAATGTAACATATAGAAAATCCTGCCGTAACCTGAGTAACCGTCGTAACTCGAACCCCAGAACTTCCCGGTCAGAGGCATTGCAGCAATATCGAAGATTCTGAAAGTTAAATAGGGACACACAAGTAATATTTTTATTTAATAAAACAAAAAAATATTTGTTTCAAGGACTGAACTAGTGACGAAACTAGGACTGAACAAGATTGGCAGAAAAATGTAGCTTCTACTAGACTAGCTAGGACCTAAGCTTAACTTTAGTTTATTGCTTACATCCTCAATTGAGTGCATTTTGCCGTATATAATATCACTTTTCTGTTGAAAAATCCATTTCTTTTAAAGGACTTTATATTGAGAGGTTTTATGACATATGAACATAAGTGGAGAGTTACGGAAGTATTTACTGTAACGTTGTAATATTATGACCGTGCTGCTCGATGCCAGGAAACCGTGTCCCATATCAAGACAGATGCAATAGAATATCGTGTTTTTCCTTTAATTTTTTAAATAAAAACGCCGCACAGTTGGCACAAATATTTTGTTTTTGGAGGTCTTGAAAGATTGTCATAATCAGTTAATCTTGTTATTTTAATCGCATAATAAGTTAAAATTGCAGATCTGACGTAATTACATTTCTCAAAGATGGAAACATATTCCCCTCCAATATAAATATCTGTAATTACAACACCCGTCGTAGGAATCATATTCATCAGGTGTCAATATTAACAGCTCACTTCAATAAATTTACATATAATGCAAGTACGGTCCTTAAGACCTTGCCAGACGACAAGTGCGTAGAGTGTGATACACAAGTACGATAGAGAAGTAAAATATGTGTTTCGCATAACTATTTCTATACTTTAAAAGAATATACTAAGCATCAAAAACGAAAACGTGCTGCAGCTGGTAGAGGGTAAGTCCTCAGGTCAGCTGATTCAGGCGAAAATAAAATTCGTAGTTTACAATGACCGTGGCGTACTTGCTACCCGTAACGCGCGCTATGCTCTACCACAGGTTACGTCATCGTTACATCATCTCGAAAAACTTGGAAATGATGCGTTCTAGACGTTTAAAATAATTTTTTGTCCCTAAAGTGACACGACTTTTTTATTGTTCTTTTACCCTAATATGCCTTTTTTGAACACTCTATTACATTATTGGAGGGTTTACGACCCTGCAACATGGATGATCAGAAAACTTAGAAATTGGGATCATGTGTAAAGCTTTTAAAATTATTATATAAAAAGTAAGAAATGTTCGCAAGGATAAAAGTAATAATATTTATTTAATATCGATATTATAATGAAATTTATTTATTATGAAATTACTATTTATATTACTATTTATAATGAAAAACTATAAAAGAGTAAATGTGTAATTAAGAAGAATTATACTCCAGCCACTTAAGAACCCAATCTCAATGAAGTATATTTAATCCAGTTTCCTTTCTTCCGTTGATAAAATTCTGAGATAAAGGTATGACCTTACTGTGTAGATTAAGAAATTATAAACGTGTTTGTAACTGTTTTGAGATACTATATGGCTAATTTTTCAAGATATTTCAAAATTGAGATTTTTTTATGTGCTGTGTTTTGAAACAATTTTGTGAAGAGTCTTGAGCAAGAAACTGCAAAACTATCAGTAGTATATTAATTGCACTGTAAGTATTATAATTTTATTGAAATTTTACAAATACTGTAAGAATGTTTATTCAAAGTTCTTGCACCACTAATTCTGTTAATTATTTTGTTAATTATAAAGTTCATTGTACATCGACAATATTCACAGATACAAATACATTTAAGAAATAACCAAAGATATTATACAATAGAATTAGATACCTTTCAAAATTTGTTATTTTGAGTGTAAATTTTTTATCACGAACTACTTTAAAACAAAAGCTCTTTATAGTATAGACTTTACGTGAGTTTGGTTTTACTTTTAATTCATACATTGAAGCTTTTCATAAAACGATAGAAAGTATTCGGTCACTTCAATTTCGGTTATAAAGAGTTTACACGATCATTTCCTTCCACACATTAGGATTGTCATGAAGGAGGCAGTATCAAAAAGCTTTTGAACAATAAGATGCTTTTGTTTCGATGGAGGCGTGGTCTTACCGTCGTATCCTGGGAAGGGCATTCCGGCGCTGAACTTGGGCGGGTTGATGTTGTGTCCTAGACCCAGCGCCGTGGCGGTGATGACGTGACCAGTCTCGGTCTGCCACCAGTGGTTGAGGATGGGCACCTGCACAAAGGGGTTACAATTGAGATGCACATCGAGCTCTGCGATTCCCCTATCCTTTCCAACTTCACAATATTTCTGGAACAATGCAAATATTCCTCCAGGGAAGCCACTCTTACTCGGAATTCTCATCCCCCGCACCGCGATTGAAATTTCAATAGGAATTTGTACAAGAGGAACCAAAGAGTATTTACATTACATACGTAGCCGAACGCTAAGCGCAATATGCTTGATTGACTCGGCTCTAAGTATCGCGGGTTCGAAACCCCCACGGTCATGGGTGCTTGCTTGAGGACGCACAATGAATTACTTCTTTCCATTCGTGGCCGACTTGGATGGCTCAGGGACTTCGGGTATTTGCGCTCAAGTACCCATTACATCCGGGCATGAGTTCCATGAATTCCTCATAAGACATGGACGTTGTGTGTTGTAACAGGATGGGACAAACTCTATCAGCATGTAGTACCTAAACTTCTACCTACTCTCTGAACTTAATCTCTACTCACTTCCTACCCAAACTAGACTTAGCTACCCTCTACCAAACTGATTACGTTTCGTCGAGATGGGTCCCCTTAGTGCCACAAGAATACTGTCTATTAAAGGCTGACGGAGATCTATGGCCCTGGGACTGACCCATCTCGAAAAGTTTGAAGAAAAACATTTTGCTGGTTTTGTATCTAACTTCAACAATCTTTAAAAAATCATGTGTTCACAACGAAATGATAGCAGTTAATCATATGCCTTGAGTAGAGTGCTGTTATTAATGGACACATTGCAATATTATTAAGCGATAATTAAAAAATAGAAAGATTTAAAAACACGCGCGTGAATAAATTGCGCAGAATTTTGGTTAGATAATTTAATTTTAATTATAATGGTAGATTCTGAACTTTTTCTAATAACTTATTCTATAGAATAGAGTTAATTAGAAAAATTGAAATGTCAAAAACGTAACAGAAGTTTCCAAAGACCACATATTATATATTTCAAAGTAAGAAACATTCCTCGGGCACCAGGGGACTGAATATGAAGTGTCAAGGTCCTCGTACCGTTTCCTAAAAGTGGAAGATAACAATGTGCTTTGCAATGTAGCAATTGTGGTGGATTACATTTGCGTAATCTGATTTCTTTACAGCATCAGAAATCAACATTTTTCATTCTAAATATTTTTGGTGCAGCACTTTCTTAATAGTGAAGTAGCACATTTACATAGTTTTATATTGATGGCGTCTTGTAAATTGAGCAAAATTGTGATTTTTCTTCAGTGTGTTATCACAAGGTGTGATCAATAACGTGAATGATGAAAGTTGAATGATTTTTAGCAGCACCTGCTGACGCTAATTCTGACGCTAATTTCATCTAATAAGTCCGATGGCCCGATGGCATAATGAATTTCGAACAACGCTTTAATATTAAGTTTTGTTTCAAGTTGCAAAGAAGTGCCAAAGAGTTTCGCGAAACGTTAAAATCAGTGTATGACAAAAAAAACGTAGTAATCTAAAGACTGTTTCATTTGTTATTTAAGGTCGCATCAAATACAAGGTCATCAGCGATCACTATTGCGTGTAACGGCATGATAACTATGAGTATGACACGATATGATGATGATGATAATAGGGGTGTGAAAGGATGAACACAATTCAAACATGCCCGAGGCTGGACTCGAACCGGCGACCCTTCGGTCCGAGACTACGGCACTTCCTTAGCGATCTCTGCCACCCGGACCGGCTGAAGACTGTTTAAAGAGGTATGAGAAATTTAAAAACGGGAATGAATCGCTTGAAACGAGCAACTGTCGACACATCCTGCGACCTCAAATACAGACAAAAATGTACAAAAAGTTTCAAAACGTATTCGTTCAAACAGTCAAATGGCTATTTGAGAGATTACCAAAGAACTTAACATCCCGTACAAGTTCATGCAAAGCATTTAACCTACAATTTGAAAATATGACGACCAGAAAAATGAGTCAATGACTTTCTTCATCAGAACAATGCGCTGTGCCACCTATGGCATTTGATTTCCGGGTTTGTGGCTGGAAAAAGGGTCTCGTCTGTTCACATCCATGTTATCAGATTTAGCACAACACAACTTGTGACCCAGATTTAACGTCATGTGGCTAGTGGCAAAGAATAAAAAGCGTGCTAAAATGAAAAGCGTTTTGTAATCATTACTGACATTGAGGGTTCTGGGTCACGACGTAGCAGCTGAAATCTCTTCTGAAAGAAGCTGTTCAGAAATACTTCCAGTCATGGATTCAACGTTGGGTAAAGTAAATCACCAGCGAAGGTCAGTCTTTTAAGGAGATTAATTCCAATTCTATGTAAGCGTATTACTTTTTTTGTAATAAAATTATTCACCGTATATTTTATTACACCACGTATGTGGAAGGGATTTCACCCTTTCCGTATTATTAGTTCAAAGACCAAAATGTTGAAAAACATGACATCAAAAAGACAAGATAGGGAACTAAAATAATTTATTAGAAACAATATAAAAAGGAACAAAATATTTCCATAAAGGCACAAAAGATTTTTTCTGAGAACGCAGGAAATTGCGATAATCCTTTAAGATGAATGGATCAGCCAATAATTCAATCCTTCTCTTCTTTATTCATCTCATCTATAACGGCTTGCGCCGTATTCGTTCTCTTAAAAACCTAGGACAACTTAAATAAAACGCCGTTAGTAACATCGTGAAGCAAAACTTGTGACACATCACCTAGTTCCGATCACGTGAGGCAGAGGCAGAGGATTTGAATGCCCGCGCGACTGCCGCCGAAGCGGAGAACGCCGACACTACCTGGAGTCTTCCAGAATTCAAAGAGAAAATAGTCACGATGCCGTGGGGTGAAAAGCCCGCGCAAGAAAGATTCTTCTCCGACCACTCCTCCTTTAGGAATGTCATTCAGCAACATCCCACATAAATAAGATCCAAGCGATCCAAAACAGAATCCTGGGCATTGCAGCCAAAGCCCCGTGGTTTGCCAGTAACGTAACTCTCTATTCAGATTTCAACTTAAAACCAATAAAAGAGAAAATAATTCACACATCCCACAAGTTCTTCTTCTACCTACTTAATACAACCGGCACATTCTTTTATAATCTCGGTATAGATAATTATTCCTTCCTGAGAATTAAAAAAACAGATATCGCCTTAATGCTTAAACTGCTTTTCCACCTTTGAATATAAATAAATAACTTCAGCCTATTATATCATCTCCCAGTGTCTTATGGCGGTACTCGATGAGTGACCCCACTCTAATTTTTAACCTTCGAATAAATCACCAATCATCTGTAGAGTCGAAAGGCGGAACGATGTAAATTTGGTTAGAAATAAATGAATCAAAATAAGGAATGATACTCAATCAACTAGTGGCATTTGAAATGCACGGACGACGGTGTAAGAGGAGAGAGTCTTTGAACTGAGTGAAGGCGGAGCGGGTCGAGGTAGAGGCCACGCAAGCAAGCTGGTCCCTTCGCTGCAACACGAGTCTAAGGCCTTACGCGGGGTGAGGTTATTTTTTTTTCAGGATTGCGGCTGGAGAAAATTCCCCGCCGACTATCACACGGCCTAGCCGAGCGAGTGTCTGGATGGAAAGGCCACGGCTTTCGGATGCTAGACTCGTGCGCACATCCAATGGCTGGTGGGGACACAGTGAGTGAGACGCGAAGGAAATAACGTGAGTGATGAACCAAAATTTTAAAGCTTTTTAAAAAGTCTGACAAAGCTGACAAAAAATGTTTACTGAAACTTGTTAGTTGGGGAATTATTTCATGTTACACATAGTCGTCCTCTTGATGAAACGAAAACGATGAGGAAAAATAATGATTTTACATTGCTAATTATATCGAAAATATTCTTGTTTTCTCTACTCAGAGAAAACTACTAATTCTTGAAACCCTCTATTGTATTTGCACAAGCGATCTTGGGTTACGAGAATTATGGGGGCCAAATTGCATCTTTGTTGGTTACCATTGTTTAAATAGATTTTATCTGCTGATTCAACGTTCTGTAGTAGAAGAATTTTCTTATTTGTATAAATTGTTGATACATGCCGAAGTATTATCTAGAGAAATTGTTGAAATCAGTTTAAGCAATGTTTTTGTGGACGACTGATAAGATCTATCATTTTACTCTTCTTTATTTATATAAAAAGTCATTAGATATTTAATATTTTATGTGAGGAAGACTGACAATATCCCTTATCATTTCACACTTCTTTACTTGTATAAAGAGTCATAAGATATTTAATATTTTATGGAGAGGAGATTGATAAGATATCTTATCCCTTCACACAACTCTTTTACTTGCATTCATTTTATATGATTTATTTGGTATTTAATTGTTGAGTGATGCTGTATTGATGTGTTTTACATTGATTCTATTTTTAGTTTCAAACGATCTCGAGTAAAAGTGAATTTGAATATTAGTAATATAACTGATATTTCGTGAACCTTCTTATATTACATTAATTATTAAGAGAATGAACATGTCTTTTATTGTGTTTTTCCCAAAGTTTCATCCGTGGAGCCCCGCATTTACATGAAAACTCATCGGCCCTCTAGATGCTTACCTTCTGTTTGAATTTTTTTCGGACGAGGCAAAAAGCATTAAATCTAAAATGCGAGAAAGGTCTCAAGCTTGATGTGAGATTATTAACTATTTACAAAATTGCATTGGTACCAGATGAACGACCAAATTTTAATATTTCCGGAAAGAAATACTTTATGTATGATTGCACACACCTCGAAAACCTTTTCTGCCCAGGTTTTGGTCTCGTGATCGCAGTGCTCCCCCGCCACGAAAATCACTCGTAGGCTGTAAAAATAATTACATGAATGTAGTTTTTCGAATAGTTGAAACATTGACATAAAGAGGTACAAATTCATTGCGGAAACCCTAGTATTTCAGTACGAAGATACTTACGATTTTGTGCTGTATTTGCGGCCAAACCGGACTTCTGGATCCACCTTACGGATCACACGAAGTGCTGTGGGTGCGGTGAAAATGGCCGTTACTTGGTGTTCCTGAATTACTCTGTAATGAAATTATTTATTTAATAAAACATGCAATCGCCCTTCCGTTCTAGAGATAGTCTTTTATATTCAGAAACAATGTAATTGGTAATTTAAAGAAAAACATTTCACGCATATTATGTGTATCAGGTATTTTGATGTAATGACTTTGTAGTCGTCAATATGAATAATTGTGATGAATCGCTAAAACAATTTAGTCAATTTAAAATTAATTAGCTATATATTGAATGCACTAAATTGAAAACTGAGTAGAACATTTTGTTTTAACATAATAGACACTTGAAATGATTTTTTTTTACAGAAAATGCAAAGATCTTGAGAGATCAGACTGAATATCCAATCAAGAACCACTTACACATGAAAAAACTGTTTATTTTCTAAAAAAGAAAACAAGAATCAACAAGATTAATTATAATTAATATCATAGCGTTTTAATAGGTTTAAGAGATGATTCTGATATCCGCTTTATCGTTGTTCAAAAGACAGACTTAAAACACTTTCAGTTTCACGCAGCTTTCTATAAATAGAGATTTGAAAAATTATACGTGAGTAATTAAGTAATTCTGAGTCATGATATAACGATGGGTCATTAAAATGACATATAATGACGATGAGAATCTATAACTACAATTCATTTCTACAACGTTGAGATTATGCAACCACAAAGACAGAATGAAAAAATAAATGTACTGTCTCACCTAAAATAGGATCCCGCATCAGGTGTTCGGTCTGGCTTGCCCTCGTACATGACGGAGGTCATCCCGTAAACTAGAGGGCCGTAGCAGATGTAGGAATGGCCCACCACCCAACCCATGTCGGATGCTGTCCACATAACATCTTCGCGACTTACGTTATACAGCGTCGTCATCGTCCAGGCCAGAGTAGCAATGTGGCCGCCCACGGATCGCAGGATGCCTTTGGGCTTATCTGCGACGAGGAGAATTAAAGGTTAGAAAGAGGCAGCGGCTGGTCATGAAGAAATGTTTAGAGTGGGCAAAACTGATATTACAGACCAGATGTGAATCCAGAGTGTCACAGGTGTTAAACTTCCTCAAGACCAAATATTTTTTTCTGTAATTTAAATTCATTTATTTAAAAAAATAGTAGCGTTGGATTATTGGTGAAAGCCCCAACTGACATTATTTTAAGAATAAATTTACATTTTAGAAAGTGATATTTTTCTTGGATAAAATTAATGGAGACGAAGAAAAATTCGAAATGGAATTTGTTACAAAACTCGAGTTCTGCACAATCAGGGGAACAAATTGCAAAAATTGCAAATGTAATTTTCCATCTTTCTTTTTGAAGCATGTAAAAAGTTGATTCATATTATAGGCTTATTGTGAAGGGGTAACGTAAATAATGTGGTATACCTAAGCACCTGAGTTCCAACCTCAGCGTTGTAAAAGAAATTGACTTTTGGAAACGCTTCTGCAGGTCCAAATATTATGATAATGCTTCGTAGCTGTTACAAGTAATGCGGGAATGTATATAAAGTTGAATCACCACTGTCTTACTGATTACTTTAGTAAACTAATGCCCATGGTACTCAATGGTTTTTTCAGACATTAGAGAATTTTTTAAATTCCGAAGAGGAGAGGGTACCATGAAATGGGTCAAATTACTGATTTTAGTTTTTGAACAAATAAATAGTTCAAACCTTGCTCTTTCCCAATATATTAACATTTTTCTTCCAGGATGCCAGAAAGTTTCTTTAATTCTCTTTTAAATATCCTAATACCCATGAGCCACACCACTTTTTTGACACTGCATACCAGTATGGCTATTTTTTCGTAATTTTGAAGGAATATTCTAGTAAAGCAGTGGCAGGTACAGACTGTTTTTCAAATAGCGTTTGCCGAAAATATACCTATTTTGAAATTGGTGTACCTTTTTTCAAAAACAACTTTTCCCAATTTATTAAAATTTACAAGATTAATTCATTATAGCATTGGAAATAAATTGAAATATTTCTATCAACATTATTTACTAACAAAAAATATAAAAAAAACTCAAGATTTGTTCAGAATACTGAAAACATTATGGTAAAAGTTATAATTGAAAAAATAATAATTTTTTAATCAACATTAAAAAATTCAAAATAATTTTGGGCTGGCTCTATCTTTAAGAGGATGAAATATAATATTTTTTTAGCAAAATTTTTTTTATCTCTGAAAAGGTACATCAATAACAGCGAATTTAACATGGGTGATATACATGGTACCCTCTCGCCTTAAAGCTATCCGGGGCAGTCTGGGGGGGGGGTCCGGTGTACCTGCTGGCAGGGCCTACCCGTGGTGCCGGAGGTGTAGAGGATGTAGAGCGGGTCGTTGGCCTCGACGGGCACGGGCGGGTGGGGCGCCGCCTTGGCGATCAGCTCGTCCCAGTCGAGGTCCCGGGGCTCGTTGAGCGGCGCCGTGGCCACGCCGCGCCGCTGGAAGATGACCACGTGCTCGGGCGGCGACTTGCACATGGCCAGCGCCTCCTCCAGGATGTCCTTGTAGCGGATGATCTTGTTGGGCTCGACACCCGCCGACGCCGCGATCACCACCTTGGGCTCCGCGTGGTCGATGCGCACGCACAGCTCCCGCGCCGCGAACCCTGCGCCGCCCAGCGCACTCAGTGTTTAGCGCATGTTAATACGACACGATTATGGAGAAATAATAAGGAGAAACTATACTATGTTTTTTATCAAAAGAAAATTATTCTGTTAATTGTAATAAATTAACTTATAAGGTGAATTATATGTCAGGGTAGGAGAAAATCTCATGAACAGACATAGATTTCGTCAGCCTAATTTTGTAAAAAATATATACTCTAACAATAATAAAAAAACACATCTGTTGCCAGTGCGGCGTCTCCCACTGGCAGATCCTATGGATCAAGTCCCGACGGTGGCAGGATTTTCGACACTAGCTAGACACCTAGGACAGGTTCAGAAGCTGTCTGGAGGAGAATTATAGCGGCCTTCTAATCTGATCGATAGTTTTCTGTGGGTTCAACACCAAGCGAATACCGAAGCAGAGCCCTAAGAAATAGGCCACGGGCCACACGCAATGTTTCCTTTCCCTTCCTTGTCATATTTTCACCCCTTACTTATATACACTTACACTTGGACTTCACTACTACATGTACCGGGAGACAGGTCGGGAAATTTAGAACGTCCCGGCTGGGGCGGTGCGCCGCTGGAGTGAGGTATCTGGTTGGGGAATCCCCTACTAGTCGGATTCCACCATTTAGTGGTGAAATATCACGGTCACCTCTGGAGAAAAATATGGACTTCACTTACGCGACTAATGGTTTTAGCAGTAGTCGCGGCTAGCTAGAGAGCTAGGTCAAATTCTGCCGCTCTCTGAAACTTTGATTGAGTGGTGTTTACGTGCTCGTCACCTGCTGAGGCTATCAGTCCAGTATCTTTAGTGCATTTTTTTTATCGCGAAAGGTGGCAGTGATTTTCATGAGATAGCGTGATCCGACGCTGTTCTACACGCTGTTCTCCGTTAGCAGTTTTTCGCCCAAACAGGCACCTCCCACCGCCCTAGCCGGGGCATGCTCTATGCGCCCGACCGGTCACCCGGTATGTGCGGTAGTGCAGTGCAAGTGAAAGTTTGTCTGTGTTATGGTTTTATGATAGGAGAAGGAAGAGGAAGGAAAGTTCGCGCGCTGTTTGTTAGGGGACTGCTCCGGCATTCGCTTGGTGTTAATCGGTGGGCTTGGTGAATTTAACCTTGCTATTTATCTCGTGCTGAAAATCCCGCCATCGATACTCGAACGCGAGATCTCCAAGCACTGCAGTGATATCAAATGACGCCCTGAGTCACCTAAGTCGGTCACTGCCTGATAGGAAATTGTAGCGGCTGGCTCTTCTCATCGATATTTTTTCGTGTTTTCTCCGATTAATACCTGGCACCGTATCACTCAGAGCAGGAACCATGTGTTCCGGATCTGCTGCGCATTTTTTTCTTTGTTACCATCATCGCTTTCTCTCCCCTCACATGCATTCTTACACTTTCATGCCCTACAATACCACGCATATCGGGAGAAGAGTCGATGGGAGCTAGAAGGGACGCCAATGAGGTACACAAGCTTTATACGTTAGACTCGATCACGGGAAAATAGCCATGTAAGTATACCAAACGAATATTTTTTTAAAAGGACGCAAAAAAAGGTAAAGATAAATAATGTAAGGAAAAATAAATGAAAAACACCAGCCTTATATTCATGATCAGCGCAAAGAGAAATATAATTAAGTCATAATAAGTACAAAATTCGGGGTAGGAGAACGTGCCAAAAAGGAAGAAATGGAGTGGAAAGACAAGAAAGACAGAAAATAAGAAATAATGACAACGAAAAAATGGTAATGATGGTGGCGGTGACGGTGTTTTTTGTCGTTATTACAGTGAAACCTGGTTTAACGGCACACTTGATTAAGCAGACAACTCCAGAAATGGCCATTTTTTCGTGGAACTGATTAATTTTTCCTTGAGACACGTATACTAATTTATTTTGAACGGTATCTCATTTCGAACATTGATTTCTATTAAGCGATTAACTTCACCTATTTACAACTATAATAGAATAAGAATCGGAAAACAGTGATATACTATTGATTCAATATCTTCCTGCGCGGGACGCATTGTCAGATTACTGAGATCTGTGTCATCCAGTGTCCCTCTTCTTGCAAGGTTTAGATTTATGTTTGAGGCAAAAACAAATGATTTTAATAAGTACATCTACGAAATAACAACACGTTCACTTTGCATATACCCGAGCTCTTTCATAAAATGTGCTAACCCTGTCTTCCCCTCTGTGGGTACTTGTTACCGTCCGGTGGCTATGCCGCAAGTACGAATTCTGGTCATTTGTAAATTATTTTATGAGGCAGCTCTGCCCATATAATGTGAATTGCATTTTGAAATTGAGTTTGATGGGGATAAAAAGTGCAATACATAACGTCAAAGATACTTGACTCGAGAGACAAAAGGTGTTGGTATATTTAGTGATGCCGAATACAAATAAAATAAAAATTATAAAAAAACAAATAATTTTTGTGATGCTTTAAAACCTCTGCAACTAAAAAGAAACAAACAACTCGTTCAGGGAATTTTTTGTATAATGTTGGTACAATCCATGCAAAACAGACTTGTCTTTATCGTATAATTCAAGTGTAGTTTGTTTTTTAAGTAGTATTTTGAAGTTTAAGGTACATAATCAAATTTATTTTTATCGAAATTTAAACTCGTACGTGACTTTGATTAAACGGCAACCTCTATTAATAGCCAGTTTTTTGCTGGAATCATGAATTATCATTAATAACAGGTTTAATTGAACTTTGATGTTTTTGTCTGTTACAAAATAATACATACGTATTTAATTACTTATCACTGTCGTAATTACACCAATTCTTTGTCCACGTGGTCAGAATATCTTCAATAATTTTGGCCTACTATCTTATTGGAGTGTTATTGGTAGAGGTGATTATAGTGATTAACTAGTAAATCGACTGATCTAAAACACAAACATTTTATTACCAGCATTTTTGTGAAGTTTGACTATTTTAATAATCTCTCGTACGATTGTCTCCAATACAAAGTTTTACACTAGCCCTCTAGTGAAAACAATGGCCTTAGGGTCGGCAGACGGGAGATTCTAGTGATTTAACAAATATGAAAGACAAAGAAAAAACATCAAATTCCAATGGAGGAAATGAATTCGTGACCCTTCGCACCAAGATCCTGTGTCGGCAGATTCTTTAACCACGTCGGTCTTTGAGAACTGGTAGAAGATAACGCTGCCTTACTATTTATTTGTAAATGTGTTTCACATTCATATTACAATGATGCCCAAAACATGCCTAAAATAGATCTACAGAACTTAAGTTCTTTCGGAGCAACGACCTGGGCTGGTTTACAAGACACAGCTTCTCAACAGATGGGACCGCCCCTTTTTAGAAGTCGAACAAAAAATGCAAAATAATGATATTTTGGTATCTTTTAATACAATAAACATTTTTATAATAACTATCTTTTTTAATTTGGCTATTTAAAATAGATAAATGTGACGTATCCGACTCTGCAAACTGTTCTAAAAATATTGTCATCGATTGAAAATGTATTTCATACTTAATTTATTTCGTGCCTAGATTTGTTCAAATATGTTCTTACAGTATATGGCATTGAACATACCAATGAATTGTTGTAGATATTAATGTTACTCTCCCATTCAAAAATTCTCATTATTGTATATTACCTCAATACTGGATATGAACAGGTAATATTGTAAATTGAAAAATTATAATCGCCGTAAAAAGTACTTGCTGGAATGAATAATGCGAATAGATATAATTTAGTTTAGCTAAATTGTTTACGTTGTTTTATAATACGAACATAATTGATCACCTCGAAGTTGTCCTTCTGCGTTATTCTCTAATGATAATATAAGATAATTCTCAATTAGTTCGGAAAATTCTGAGACAAAATCATCTACAGCTACATTTGATTCCCCTGTTATGCTTAAAACGTCCATATTTGTATCCCCTTAATTTTTTAACATTTTAAAACGCCAAAAACTCAGAGAATACACTTCTTAAGCGTGTATAGATAGATTTTCAATTTAATTTCACTTACAACTTATTCACGTAAAGATACAACATTGTAAACTTTTAATGCGTGTAAGTCAGATTAAATTGAAATCTATCTATGCACGTTTAAGAAATGTATTCTCTAGTATTACAGTTATTGTTTTCTTCCTATTCACTTTATGTTCTTCAAATTTAATGTTACAAAGTAATTTGCAAATTTATTATACAAAATACGTATGAAATACGTCACTCTTACGAATTAACAATTTCTACCGGGCGATATTCCTTTCATTTTCCTTATTGGTTAAAAATCAAGTGTTGCCATCTCAATGGAAGAAAATTATGGTGTTCTGGACTGAAAATAACCACGGGGTAAAGGGGTTTAATAATCGCCACCTACAATGATCTATTTAGGTTGGTTCAATTTCAAGCATATTCACTAAGGCCGCAGCGTCAGAAAACGGAAAACATTTTGGAACATTTTTTGGAAATTTCTTGTAATCGTCTGCCCGCATCAGAAAAAAATAATCAGTTCCTCGCCAGAAGACCGAGACGCGACACTTTTTATGTCTGAATAGCTGCTCGAGGAGAGGTTTAACCGTGAGTGACGGAACCGCACATACGCACTCACGAACTCTCGCAGTTACTCAAATACTATTTAGGAATTAGCTAACACTCATTTCTCTCGAACATTAGCTTGGAAACTTCGATTACACTGTTTTATTCTTAACTTTTACTTTACGTTTCATATAATGCCAGTGTACATAAAAAATGACACATGTAAAATACTGCCAAGTGCTGTACTAGAACGGTTTTATTCTAGGTGAAGCTAGCTATTCTTCAGCCAGAGGCAAAGTGTTTACTCAATATATAAACTATCAACAGAGCTATCTTCACGAAATTTTTACCAGTAAAAATATACTATTTTCCAAAAACATTTCTTCAACAATCTCAAAAAATTGTGTTCATTGTGTATCACTTTTCTCGTACCCCAATATCTACCTTTTCGTGGTGTGTCACTTTTTTTGTACTCCAACTATATTTCCTGTCTCCCGAATAGTAACAATTGGAAGGTTACAAAATATTCCGAGAACTGCTTTCAAGCCCACACGCGAACATAAACGTAGGAGTGTGAAGCTGAGGAGGGAAAATAGCACGAGAGCGACAAGACTGTCGAATGCAGATCAACAAGGTCGCGACCGTTTCACCTAGCGAACACCTTCCCGCGTCGACGCGTGCGGTCGCAAGGAGGAAACAAAACAAGCGAGCGTGACACAGGCGGCCGCCAGACGTCGCTGGCTGAATGACTTCCACCCTCCATTGTGCGCGCGCTGACGTAATCAACTACTTGTTATGCATGCGCAATTTGATGGCAGTAACTGCCTGTCAAATTTAAAGTCGTAAGACATTTAAGTACGACGGGTCTTTTCTTCAAGAAATTATAGAAGAAAGAGATGGAAATCACAAATCCCGAGATGATATAATGCATCAAGATGTGTTGTAATTATATTCTGCGATTTGGAATAATCTGAAAGATTACCTTCTGTTTGTAAAGTACAGGGATTTATAAGTTGTCTTGGAATCAATTTTTGCTTGCCTAATGCTTAGTAACTAACATATGTTAAGAATAATATTGTTTATAGACGAATACATCATTTCCCTCCCTGTCTTTCCTTCTCTTTTTCTCCACGCATTCGTTCCATTTTCTCTTTCTTTTTCCTCTCAATACTTTCCTCTTTCTCCTTACTTTCCTTCTCTTTCTCTTCTCTTTCTCTCTCTCTCTCTCTCTCTCTCTCTCTCTCTCTCTCTCTCCCCTTTAACTTTTCACTCATTTTCTCTCGATATCCCTCAGTTCCCAAATACCCTTGTCTTATCTGCATATTTCACGTTTTCTTTCTCTCACATCCGTTGCTTTCAATATCTGTTTATACCACCTTTTTTCCAGAATTTCCCTGTGTATGTAAGTGAAAGTGGAGAGGAAGGAACAGAGATGACAGAGAAAGATTACTCGCGGTCCGTGGCTAGTTATTTATGATTCTGCTTGCAAATTCGTCTGAAATAGATGACACGAAAAACTACTGATATGAGCAGCACGCAGCTAGAAATTTCCTCCAGACGTGTAGAATTTGACTCAGGTGTGGAAGAAATCCCGTCGAAAATCCACCAATCAAACCTTAGAACCTATCGGTGAACACTGTTTTGAAGTTGTCTGATCCATATTTGTAAAAGTGAATAACTTAATCTCTAAGTCTTGGAATCATTTGTTGTTTTCAGTTATCTTTATTTTTGCAAAGTTGCATATCTTCGATATACTTATCTAGATGTTTTTAAAATTACAATATGAGATATACATATTTTTACATGCATTTTTACGAGTTTAAACACGTTTACTGAACGTTTTGGAGTTATTTCCGGTTCGTATTTTTTTACAAAGACAAAGTCCTCTAGGATGGCTGATGGGTAGAGTACTAGCTTCCCATGACGTGATCTCAAGTTCGATTTCCCGTCGAGAAAAAAAGTAGTGTTGTAGTTTTCGGACAAACAAATCACTACGTATATACAAACAGTAAATATAAGTAATCATATACGAATGTATATGATTATGTATGTGTGTATCTATATGAAAGGAACGTACCTTTCACTATACGAAAAATAATTTTGTCAAAATAAGTACATTCTAATGAAATACAAAAATATCGAAATTAAGTGGGTGATTGTTGCCGTGCGGCTAAGAGAGAATTGAGTTGAGTAATTTAGGATATAAAGGACGAGAATTGAGTAAGAAACAGAAAAAACATCAACACAGGGCTTATGCTGGTGGCAGGAATGGTCCGTGGCGGGAATGGACCGGAGCGGGAGCCGGAGCGGGAGCCGGAGCGGGAGCCGGAGCGGCAACCGGAGCGGGAGCCGGAACGGGAACCGGAGCGGGAGCCGGAACGGGAGCCGGAGCGGGAGCCGGAGCGGGAGCCGGAGCGGGAGCCGGAGTGGGAGCCGGAGCGGGAGCCGGAGCGGGCCGGAGCAACGACGGGTATTTGTACTAAATGGCGTACTACCATAGAAAAAGGAGCACTTGTTTTCGGTTGGACTTGACGTATTGCTACGCGCGTCTCTTGGCCCAATTCGACCCCGTGAGCGCGCCCAGCGCCGTCGTCGGCGACTGCAGCGGGTCGCGCGCCTGGGGAGCCTGGGGAGCGTGACGAGCGTGCGACGCAGGCAGGCGGACGCGCGCCGCGCTCACTCACCGCCGAAGACGACGGAGTGCACGGCGCCCAGGCGCACCGTGGCCAGCATGGCGATGATGGTCTCGGGGACCATGGGCATGTAGATGACGACGCGGTCGCCCTTGCCCACGCCCAACTCCGCCAGCGCGCCCGCCAGCTTCGATGTCTGTGCACAACATCGTCTCCGTCATCCATCATCATCACAATCAAATAAACTTCTCAACCTCAATATTAAACGAAAATATATTTTGTCACCTTTTATAAATGAACAGCAAGCTCCTCAGACATCCCATCAAAAATGTTTTTACAATTAAAATAGGATTATTTTATGCTTTTTCATATTTTAATTATTAAGCCATATACTGATCTTGTACGATATGTTCATCTGAATAGTGTACAATAGTTCCAATTTTTCCAATACCTCAATGTTTTTTCAAGTAGCTAATAGTAATTATTTCAATTATATGAACGCGTGTCTCTGTGGGCGAGTGGTTAGCTCTCTGGTATCTGAAGATGAACTGCTCGGAAGCCATTCCTTTTCAGGTGCGGGGATAGTTGAATGACAGAAAATCTCACAGTTGTCATGTTGTAATTCTGGAGTATAAAAAAAACTCCTGGAAGATGCCCGGAAAACTTAAATTCCTCCGAACATTTCCCGACCTATAGAAAAGTCACTTTCACCCAACCAGAGTGTTTGGGTATTAAATGAAATCGACATTATTAACTGAAAGTGGGAATCACACTCTGGCGCTTAAATGGACGCCCCCATGGTGCGCCTGCTCTAGAAATGTCCCCTAGATCTGTACGATTGGAAAGAACGAGTACGAGCAGTTGCATGTCCCCAGTAAATAACCCATTCAATAAATAAGTAAATAATTGTGTGAACTTATGTACGGTATGTGGAGGTAACTATGCGGTTCATAGTTGCCAAAATTTAAAATGTTCCTATCTATGGAGTATGGAGTACAAGTGAAATAAAACTGTACAAGTGAAAATGGAAATAAAAAATGCAAAAATGTTTCAATATGAGACAACATATGTAAATAAATTTGGTATTGTATGTTTCTACAAACGGTTTAATAGATAAATTGTTTCTCTTAGGTAACTTTCTCTTTGCTGTACATATATGCTAGAATGTTACAGTAGTTCAAGAAGTTCATTTTCACGAGTACATTCAAATATCAAACATAGGACCAACAAGTGCAGCAGCAATGAACATACATTGATAATATTAATATTAGCAATATTAGTAGTAGAAAGATAAATCCCTGAAATCTCTCCATATACAGTAGCACTTCGGTTTTCCGAACTAATTGAGGGAGTGGTCTCTTCGGATTCGGAAATGTTCTGAATAAACGATAAATGAATATATATATATATATATATATATATATATATATATATATATATATATATATATATATATACGTAGGTATGTCAATAAGTATCTGCAATTTTGCTCCAATTGTCCTTAGGTTGGCTCTACGATTTTGTGTGCCCATTAGGCACTGGATTTGACCATTGTGTTTGCTTGTGAGACGTTTCAGCTTTATCTGATTTGCCATTGCCTTCTTCCAATGTTGCTACGTTAAAATGGCCGTGACACTCTGCTCTAAAGCAGAACATTGTTCGGTAATCCGTTTTTGTGGTCTAAAAGTGTAACGGAGTGTCTACCGGAGTGTGTACCGGAGCGAAGATTCATAGAATATTTTCAGCACAATACGGGAACAGTGTTTTGTCACTGCGAAACTTTTCCCAGTTACCAGAACAGTTCAAACGTGGTCGTACGAGCCTGAAGGATGAGGGAAGAACGGGGCGACCAGCTACAGCCCCAACAACTCGTATGCCGATTCTGAGTAAGTGCGTGCCTGTATCCTCAATAACAGACAAGTGACTGTTCATAACGTGGCAAACCATCTGAGCATTAGCCATGGTTCTGCTTATGAAATCATGCAAAGCAAGCTTAACTTTCACAAAGACTGTGCGAAATGGATTCCAAAACAACTCAATGAAGAGCACAGTCGCGTGAGAATAGTCTCTTGGAGCTTCAGCAGCAACACACAGCCTCGATCTTGCTCCGCCAGATAACCGTCTCTTTGGTTCACTTAAAAATGCTTTAAGAGGCCGTCGATTTAACTCCAAATCAAGGGTAAAGGAAGCGCTACATACGTGGCTGTACATCCATCCAAAACGTTTTTCGTTTATTTGACGAGGTATCGAAAAGCTTGTTCAAACGGTAGACCAAGTGCATTGAAAAGCAAGATTACTAGGTGGAAAAATATCAATAAAAAATTGTGTAATCTTGATGTAATTATAAAACTTGATTGCAGATGCTTATTGAATTACCCTCGTGTAAATAAATGTACACGATTACCAGACACAATGCAATGTAGCGTGCGATGTGAGAAAATAGCAACTTAGTGATATGAAGTGACAATGCTGCGATCAACGGAGTACAGCATGTACATAACCAATCGCATACCGTAGTACGTAGTTGCTACATTGTTTAGAAGAGATGAAGCAGTTTGCGTCGCTGCTGTTAACGGATATTCTATGTACAGTATTCAGAATTTGCTTAGACTTATACTGTGTTCATACTTTGTAGTTCATAAATTAAGTTGATACAAATAAGGTGTTTTTTGTTTATTTTTCCCCCATTTTAAAATTTCGGATTTGCGAGATTAGGGTTAGCAGTACACTGTACTATGAATAGTTGAAAGCCTTTGGAGTAACGTCAAACATATCAAATTTAAGTTCATGAACACATCTAACTTGATTTTACTATAATGTGAATTACCATCAAATTCTTCCCAATAAACTAATAATAATAATAATAATAATAATAATAATAATAATAATAATAATAATAATAGAAATAACAATGGAGAATATCAAATTTGGTATTGCAGGTAAAAATACTCTTTTGTAAATTTCTTTATATTTTTTGCTTAAAAACTTAAGACCATATTTAATTATCGTTTCCAGGTCTAAGCTGGTCGTAAAGAAATAAATAAGTTACTTAAGGAATAGTAGTGTCCCTGCCAAATCAATCTAAAGAGATCTCGCGTTCTCCCAAACAGCGAGTTCGGATGTTGATAACTGAAACCGACATGTGGCTCAGAAAGTCTGAATCACACCCAGGCGTTTAAGGGGACGCCTACGTGTTACAGTACCGTCAGAGTAACTATGGTGAGGCGCACCTGTTCAAGCAGCTCGGCGTAGGTGACGCGGCGCTTGGTGCGGGTGACCGGGCTGTCGTGCACCAACGCCCACTTAGCCCCGCGGCCTGCCTCCACGTGCCGATCCACGGCGTTGTAGCATGCGTTCAGCTCGCCGCCCACGAACCTGCGGACGACAACAGAGTGTGGTGCCGGCCTCTGTGGTAGTGGGTTAGGTTACTTAATTAATTTCACTCCGCGGGTTCAAACCCGGCCGGGAGGGGTGGATTCCGAAGGGCGAAAAATGCCCTTATGTCTCGCTAGTGGCATGCAAAACAGTGAAAGGTTTAAATTAAGTCCTACAGTATGTAAGTATCCTTTAGATTATTACATATAAGGTATAATAATAATGTGTACAAAATAATTATCCCTCTCTCTCACTCACACACACACACGCACACACACAACACACACACACACACACACACATATATATGTATATATATATATATATATATATATATATATATATATATCTGTATATAGTGGTTGTTTATATAATTTTCAATTTCATTGTTATGTGTATTCATTGTTGGACGGGGTGTGTCTAAATACATTTTGTAAATGATTGCTCGCTCTGGCCTTACAACACTGAATGCAGTAGTATGTTCACTTTTAATTCGGATATTTCGTTTTTTATCTCTAGTGATTTCTTTTTGTAGTTGTCGCAAGGATGTTCTGAGTTTGTATCAATTTGGTTATAAACTGCGAAAAGAAGTGTAGCGGTGATTATCCAATTTAATTTTTACACTACTCTTGATAATTATTTTTATTTTGCTTTTATATCTGGTCTTCGAGTTATTTGCCAAAATCTTCTTAAATTATGTTTCGATTTAATTAAATTAATAATTTTCCATGAATAGGGAAGAAAAAGTTATTTTTTGTATTGGAAATAATGGGGGTATATCTTTGTTGTTACTGAGTGGTCTAGAGATTTAAAAATAGCCGAATTTAACTTTTCTAGTTCGGAGTCGATATTTGCAAATCGACCTAATAGGTAGTGGTATTTATGTTATTTTCCATTAGGTAAGCGAACAGTCAATTGATATGTTTCCTAAGAGGTTATTCCTGGTGTAATTTCTTTAAAATTTTCTTGGTAAGATATAGGATCGGATATGGTCTGAATCTAATTCAGCTACTACTTTTTGATGCAGTGGGAAATTAATATTTTTTGGTTATGAACTATCTCGAGAACGTCAGGGATAATATTAACATTGTAGGGAAAATGTGTAGGATCTGTTGGGGCATGAATATTAAGACTATTATTATTTACCAATTCCAGTAACTTCCGGCCTTGAATAGTTATTGAGTTTGCAGCCCCATGCTCTGTGTTTGCTGTTCAAATCTCCAAAGAAAGAATAATACGATTATATGAGCTAAATATTTTTCTATAAGTGCTTTTCAGGGAATCTCTTATTGGAGGCTTGTAAGCTGCAATGATTATTACTTGTTTGTCATTGTTAAGGCTATTATTCATATTATTATTACACCACTTATTCCATCACCACCACCCCAGTACTGGTCCTAGCACCAGCACCAGTAGTAGTAGCAGCAGCAGCAGCAGTAGCAGCGGCAGTGGTACCAGTAGTGTTATTGATATTATTACTATTAACGCTACTCTTTACTTCTATTCCTAGTTGATTCTAAGTTCGGAGATGAAGCGGTAGATACTTGAATGCACTCGATGTTTTTTGCTACTATTAGTGCTACGGCCACCTGATGCTTTGTTGGCAATTCGGTCCTCTCTGAAAATTCTAAAATCCTGGAATGTGAAACTTTTTCTCCCGGAATTAGATGGGTTTCGGTTACACAAGCTATTCAATTTATTTTTCTTAAAAATATCTAAATTCATTTTCTTGGCGTTTCAGCCGTTGGCGTTCCAGTTTAAAAAAGTATGCATTAGTTATTTATTGCCATAATCTCAATTTGTTAGAACAGATTTTACTGTGTTTTCAATTATGGAGTGAGCGCTAACATGACTTGTGATACGATGTTTGAGATTAGATTAGATTGATCCTGTTTGAATAATGAGAATATGACCTCGATTGGTTATTAATGGTATGGATTAGGATGAAGGGTAGGATGTGATGGTACTTGTCTAGCGGATACATTGTTAGGAAGAATAATGGTTTTGAGGACACGTTAGAAGTGGTGTATGTTTTTTTGAATTTTTCATTGGATCTGCTGCCTTTTTGTATATGCTGAAGCCTTTATAGTTAGAGTATGTTCGTCACCAGAATTAACGCACTTAGGGGGGGCAGATTTAATTTTGTCAACTCGGAGTAATGATGCTGGCCAGTACATTTGACACAGCCGTGGCTGAAGGCACAATTTGCCTGGGAATGCCCAAATCTCTGACAACGTTTACATTGGAATTACATGAGACTTGATTTCTTTTCTGAATTCTGATAACACTGTAACAAAAAGCGGTTAAGTTTGAAATATTTTTTACTTTGATAAGTATTTTCTAAGTCGATTGCACATATAGGTATGGGACACTTGTCTTTATTATAAAGTCTTGCTACTTTAATTGCTGGGAATTTTAATCTTGTCAGTTCCTGTAGTATTTCACTTTCCGAGTAGGTAGTGGGAATGTCCTTCATTACAACGGCTAACGTTTTTATAAAGGGTCTTTATAAGCAAATGGAATCAATTTTTTCTGTTTAACAGAATTTTCTAAAACTTCTATAATCACTTATGGAAGTTAAATGAAATTTTAATAGCGTCTTTTTCTTGTTTAGTTGGTGAAGTCGTCCTTAACGTTCTTTTTAATATCATTTAACAAAAGTTGAAGTTACTTTCATTGTGCACTATAATTGGGGGAATTTTAATAATTGGATGTTTTCAGGTTCTTCAGTTAGTTTCTAATGTTCCCTAGCAGCTTATAACTATTTGAAACAGGAATATTATATCCTGGATATATCCTCTTCTGGGAGCGTGGACGCTCTTCGTTTATGCTCACTACCATGTTCCCTGCGTACCTTGGAGCTGCGGTTGTTGTGGCAGTTGTTGTGGTTGGCTGTTGAGATGCGGATTGTGGAGGCATATGATATTGAGTTAGAAGTTGAGAGAGTTGCATTTCACCAATTTGTTGCTGATGTTGGAGGTGTTGTAGTTGTTGCCGGAGAAGTTCTTGCGTTGAAGTATTGCTGAATCTGGGATGGGTTTGCGGTTCCACTGATAAGCCGTTTAAAACCACGCATTTGTGAACTATATGGTTACGGTCTCATTGCGCTGTCGAATTAGTTGCCCCGTAAGGAAGCAAACTATTTGTTGAGCCCAATATCAAGTCTTATTGTTGATAAAAAAGCATTGTGTAGGCTTTTAGTGCTAAACTAAATAGAATTCACATTTTTTTTTGAACGTGGCACTGTTCGCTACCGCTGCAACCACGACGACACTTAAGGCCATTGATGTTATCGCACTGATCGGCTTGCGGGTTGACCCACTGCAAGAGAGCCGAATAGGCAGAGCTAACCTCGGGCACAAGCGTCGCCTCGGCGGCTCGGAACGCACTATAGATTAATAATCATGGGGGATCATTCTTATCCATTTGGTACAGACAAACTATTTGATCTTCATTTTTCATATAATTTTATTTTGCAGTTGACGTTCGTAGGGTCTAGTTCATAAAAATAAATTTCATCTTTTAAGTTTATCATAAAAGATAATGTGCTCTTAAAATTTCTACTTTTCAGTGTTGTTCTCCATAACGATATTTGAATGCTTATTTTCTCTGTAAAATGTGATCTTTATACATGTACAGCTTTAGAAGCAATTATCTTTCAAATAGTCTTTTGCAAAAGTTAATTTACCAGCATTTAACGCACAGGGGAAGAAGAAAGTACTTTAAGGCTTCATGCTGTCCTTGGGTCGAATAAACAAAAAAAACAGAACGACGAGATAAAAAAATTCTTAGGAAATTATCTTCCAAACTTCCCTTCTTTATTCTCATTTCTACAAATCCGTGAAATAGGGAAGTGTTATCTAAAACATCGAAATTATAAGTGTTGTATTTTCGAATAATTCCTTTTACGAAAATATAGAAAACTCGCGAAATCATATATTGTAATTTCCTTTCAATTAATATTATTATCAAAAATTATAAACGGCAGCCATTCTTTGTCGAACAATGTTGCAGTGTGTTTAGAATGCACCCATGATCCTACAGGGCTCGGTATTTACAGCATTAGGTAGAAGGAGATCCACTATCAAACACCTTTTCCCTCCTTGTGTTCGCGTCCGATCGGAGGTTAATCGAGTTCATCCGACATGAGAATACATAACAGATGATTGGTAGAGAATAATAATGGCTACTACATAAGGCACTATTGCTTTGAGCATAGTTCATCTTCATTTACGTAATTAAAATATTTAAGTATGTAGCGTAGGTGACTATTGGTTGCTTCTCGTCACTAATAATACCAGACCTGGGAAATATGAGCGATGTCCTGTACATTTATTAGATAATCGGGACAAATGTTCTATGCTATGATGCTACTATAGAAAGAGAGAATTAAGCTCGCCAGATCCACATCAAACTAACTTTAAGAAAATAGGGTTGAGAAATTCCCATCATTATGGAAGAACGTTTAGTCAGGCGCTCGGACATACATATAGGTTCAACACATTCTATCGCTGGGCAACAAACCGCATTATCATCGTGCGTAAATTGAATTGATGCATTTTAGACCTTTGTCACAATCCGGTTTTCATTCTCATATATAAATATACGTCTATATATATACTATTAGCTATGATATAATATATAAGATATAATATAACCTAGAGTATAGAGAAGTAGAGAGAGAGAGAGAGAAGAGAGAGAGAAGAGATAGCTCGACGTACCGTAGGGAAGCGGATACATCTTATCACGAGATAAATAAATATGTGCAAACGCGAAACAGGGTAAGAGCTTTTCGTGAATGGGTTCCAGGAATTCTGGCGCAAGCAATAGAGATAATTGCTTTATAGATTCATTTATTTTGGCGACATCTATATAATTTTCACATGATCTTGAAGAACAACTTTACAATTGTATTTACAAATGGCAATGGGGCGCCAGGCCTTGGAAACAAGCAAAGGTCAACGCTACCTTGATGCTTTAAAAGCCACCTGCTTCCTTCT